ACATTTATTATATAAATCTTATTCATTACATTAATACTAATAAATATATATCAACAAATCTTAAATCATCGCATCTCTCTATCTGTATGTAAATATGACTTATTAGATGTGTATATATATGTATGTATAAAAACAAAAATGAACATTGCCAAAAGGTTTATTTGAAGTTACTTCTAATTGATATAACGATCATGTAATTAGCAGCAACTGTAGTCATCAGTTCTTTGCAAATTATTATGGATATGTAATGATCAGTTGAAAAATAATTGATGAGCATTTGAGTACTCAAATGTGTACATTTTGGGGTTAATTTATATTTTTATCATATGTATGATCTACGTAATATAAACATGACTAATAAATAATAAGAAATGTAACGGCTATGAATTTATAACAATTGATTACTTAAATCAGTGCACAATTGATTATCACCTTCATGTGTGTTTACATAATGAATTGTACTTTCCAATTATGTGCACAGGCCTACTAGTGGCCAAAGCGTCGTTGAATACTGGTAGTTCTGTCTGAGGTTAGAATGCCGCGAACGGGCTGGCTACATGGGCGTTTTCTTGGTTTTCCCCATTTGTAACTGGTATACGAGCCAGTTTAAAAAAATCTTCTACATAGGGATCTCTCCTGTTAGGCAGATATCCCTTGAGGCTTTGCCGTAATCACATAAAACAAACTAATGATGTGCACCTCCTAATTTCTAGAATTTTAGGTATAAGTGTTCTATGGGACAGTAAAAACCTCGCACATGTTTGAATCTTCATTTTGCTGAATAGTATTTACTGGCTGTGAGGATGTAAATATCAGCCATATATATTTTTTGTCATAGAAGGTCTTGCTTTTTTTTTTTTTTTTTTTTTGTCTATTTGTTTATATTTATGAACAGTAATTATGAGCCATAAAGTTAGTCAAGAAAATGCTTTCACCGGGTCACAAATTTTCCAATGAGCCATCAAATTTTCATTGGAAAGCAGACATCAGAAAATACACATAAGTAATGTGTGATAAATAGACTTATCCAGCACGTTTTAAACTAGTCTTAGTGTATACAGAATTTGGCTAATACTGATGTAATTGATTGCTATAACCAGAAGTGTGTTTATCTGTTATTTGAAATGCCAGAGTAGAGATCAAAGTGATTAACTTGATAGCAATCACCTTTCTATTACCTTCCATAACTAACAATAAAGTTTAAAACGAAAAGAGTGCGAGCGATGCAAAACAACATGAAGAAGCAAACGTCACTTGAAAGGAAACGTCACTTTCGCCAATCTGAGCGATAACTGATTCTTGTTTGGCTTTCAGCCTGTTTACCAAGTAAAGATGGTAACCCGATTTCGCGGAAGAGCGATTCTCAAAACCGTTCCTCCAAATGTTTTGTTCCGTCAACAAATATCGTATGTGATAACAGCACAAGAACAGTTGATAAAGTACTTTTGAGCATCTCAGATGCACCATTTTATTACTTCAACACTACCAACAATATAGACATTGCTACAATTTAGCTATTTTTAAATTACACTGTTTTATGTGAATTTCAATGTTTCATTATGGATAGTTCTTTTTATATATGCCACACTTTTTTAATTAACAGATTAGCTTCACAGTGGCATGTCGATTCACTATAGGGAGGGAGAAAAAACTGCATGCACACACTCATCACACCAAGCAGCAGCCACCAAGATGACAGTCGAATTTCAAACATGAATTCCAGGCTGGTGTAAAGCACACACAATCATTTGTGGGTTGCAAGATATATTTAAAGCTAACAACACATATACAGTCAAAAGTCGAACACCCATAATCCGGACATCAAAGCTACAAACTTTCTGCGCATGCGTCGCGCGTAAAACCTTTACGGCTGCGAATATGCGTGTGCGCATGCACATAATATGTTCACGCATGTGCATTTAATGAATAACGGACAGTATAAGCTAAGCTAAAATTATCTAATTAAGTAAATGTTGCAGATTGCGTTGTTTCTTAATCTTCGAATTGGATCCGGCTTATTATTTTTTGCAGACTGTTAGAGCAATTTTATAAAAGTAAGCTTGAACTTTTGATTATGTCAAATAGAATTTCTGATATATATTTACTAATATGTAAAGGATCTACAAAGCGAAAGTATGTTTCGAAGTCTATTAAACAAAAAGTGGAATTGCTGCAAAAAATGGATAAAGGCATATCCTTTGTTTATCTTTAACGCCGCGGCGCGCAATGAATTGGAAGTTGATCTGTCAGCACTATCCTTATCTTCATGGCAGATGTTTTTATTTTTATTTGGCCTATAATTCCTTACTAAATGTAGTATTTCATCTCGATGTACTCCGTCTTTGATATGATTTAAATCAAATTCCTCGTCATTATAATTCGCTTCCGACAGCGAAGAAAGTGACAGAGGTTATTGAAAACGAAAAAATTTCAATTGACAAATTAGTCGGTAGACACAGCAATTATAGGACTTGAACAGCGGAACTTTGTAACTAAACAAGAAATTATGTCTGTTTATAGAATTAAAGAGAATGTATTATCACATAAAAAACGAAGCAACTTAAACAACTTACATTGAAAGAAATGTTTAATAAAGTAAACAAATAAATGTTAAGCTTTTTTTTTTTTTTTTTTGTAAATTTTGATACCCTTTAGATCATAATTGTTCTTTATTTCATGAATTACGGTTTCATATTTTTAATTTTATATTCTGCATGCCATCCTACCAGATTTAAACTGATGATCTACAATCCGGAAAAATCGATAATCCGGAATCGCTGAAGTCCCGACGAGTCCGGATTAACGACTGTATTATGCTTAACAGTCTCATTGAGATCAGGAAGCTTTGACAGCGAAGGATAGTTAGACAGTAATTTATCATACATACAATTTGTAATAATTGTTTTAACAGAATATAAATGTTTGTTAATTACACTGCAGTTAATTTTTAAATCAACAAGTTTTTTGTTCGTTTAATCGGGTAATAAATCAAAATAATGCAAGAAATCAGATCCGATAATATCTGTTGACACTTTACACACATAAAAAGTAAAATTAAAATTACGATGAAGTCCAAGGTCAATACTTAACGCTTTTTGTCCATAAACTGAAATAGGGATACCATTTGCTGTAGAAAACATCATAATAGGTGTTTGACGTGCTTCCTGTCTGGTTGCTGAAAGAAGACTGACGTCCGAGTCAGCGACGCGCAAAAATATTCTATTCGATTTCCTGTCTCTAATGAAAAGGCGACGAGATTCAGAGGGTAAAGCGCATGTCGCCGCTACACTTTCCCTGGAATGTACATGGTGGAACACACTTTTTAGCTATGTCACCAAATTTATGATGATACCAACAATAGGAACAGTTCAAAGCAGCTTTAGCTGAAGGGCTTTGCTTTCTGTTATAGCGATTTTTGGAAATACTGCGTGATCGTCGTAGAGACGAAACCTTGCTATGCAATTCGCAACTTCCTTCAGCAGGGCATCCAATTTAGAATTCTCAGAGACATTGAGAGATACACGAGAAGAAACTTCGCTTACCTGAGCGGGTGTAACTTCCAATATTCTATCCGTGAGACTGGCAGCTTTCGATAAATCGAGCGGCTTCCAACGCTAGAATAGACTGAACACTTGGCGGCATCTGGTGCATGAATAATTCCAGTAACAAAGAGTCAGGCACATTGTATTTTTCAGCCCGCCTAGACATTACATGAAGAAGTTTTGATGGCTTTCTATCTCCAAGTTGCTCGCCGGTGAGTAATTTCCATACAAAGTGAAAGTATGCTTTGAAATCCGAAATCTGTTATTTCACGCTGCTCTGTGGGGGAAGGGAAACGATGCGGCGCGCAATGAATTGTAAGTTGATCTGTCAGCTTCAGGGCAGATGTTTTTATTTTATTTGGCTTATAATTCCTTACTAAATGTAGTATATCATCTCGATGTACTCCATCTTTGATATGATTTAAATCAAATTCCTCGTCATTATAATTCGCTTCCGATAGCGAAGAAAGTGACAGAGGTTATTGAAAACGAAAAAATTTCGATTGACAAATTAGTCGGTATTCTCGACACCGCAATTATAGGACTTGAACAGCGGAACTTTGTAACTGAACAAGAAATTATGTCTGCTTATAGAATTAAAGAGAATGTATTATCACATAAAAAACAAAGCAACTTAAACAACTTACATTGAAAGAAATATTTAATAAAGTAAACAAAATAAATATTAAGCTTTTGTTTGTACATTTTGATACCCTTTAGATCATAATTGTTCTTTATTTCATAAATTACGGTTCATATTTTTAATTTTATAATTTCTGCATGCCATCTTACCAGATTTAAACTGATGATCTATAATCCGGAATCGCCGAAGTCCCTACGAGTCCGGATTAACGACTTTTGACTGTATTTATTATCAATAAGCCTAGCGTTATATTTACTATTATGGTCTACTGATGTTAAGCTTTTACAAAAAAATTTATCTTGGAATGTTATTTTGGGAATCCTCACTATAATTAGGAAGGCTACCAAACAAATATACTTTGTTCCCAATGAGAGTAAAACTGCGTCCTTATCTTAGACAAGGCAGTGGTTGATTTTTTTAAAACTGGCTTTAATTGCTTCCCACCTGCCGGCCCGAAGCTCATAAACTTCGCTTGAATTCTTTCCATATTCAGCTATGCAACCAAATAAAATACATATTCAGTTCAAGTGGATTGCCCTACTTTAGCGGTCTATGGTAATGCCCAGTGATTCTTTTCATAGGTTGGGTGCCAAATCCTGTATACACTAAGACTAGTCAAAAAGTATCCAAAAATTTTCCTACTAAAGGTATTGCAGTAATACCAAATAACAGATATACATGAACTTTTCAAACAATTTTACGGACGTATTAAAATATAAAATCAAATAGTAATCTATTACATATAAAAAAATCTAGCAGAACTTTCATACTTATAAAAAATATAATGCACTTAAAGCTGCAAGAAAATTTATTACCTTGGAATATTATTTTTGGGATCATCACTATCATTAGCAAGTCCACCAAACAAATATACTTTGTTCCCAATGAGGGTAAAACTGTGTCCTAATCTTGGACAAGGTGGTGGCTGATTTTTTGGAGACCGGGGCTTTAATCTCTTCCATTCCCACCTGCTAGCCTGAAGCTCATAAAGTTCATTTGAATACTTTCCATATTCAACCATGCCACCAAATACTAGCAATCTGGCTCCATCACAGACAAAACCGTATGCTGCACATCCAGGTGGTATGTCCCCTTTAACAGGCGGTACAAACCATTGATTACTGGCTAAAAGTTAAAAAGAAAAATTATAGCTCTTGAATCTGAAATAATATTTATTTCACTTAACACATATACATAACAAATACATATTATGATAAAGTAAGGTATACACAAAAATGTTAAATTAAAAGGAAAATTTAAAATATATTTGAACATTAAATATTTTAACAAAACTTAATAAAACACAGAAACTACTTAAGGTGACAAATCATAATGCATGAACCATATAAAATGATATTTTCCTAAAATAGTCACTCATAGTTCCAAACAATTCTGATCATCAGTGGTGGGGATCACCTAAAAGAACATAACTGTAAATCTATGAAAATTACTCATTTAGATAATGACTTTGCTTTACTCAAGGCTTTTGATGGGGGAAAAAATTATAAATGAAAAAGCATTACAGTTTAAAGAAGTACACATGAATTAAAGCAAAACATTAAGTTTTGTAGCACTTAATTTCATCCATTTAAAACAAGGTAAGCAAAACAAAAGAATGGCTGGTTACTCCAATTCAAATTCATGCAAATCCATATAATACAAAAATAATTGGTTAAAAGACTTCTATGCTATTGAAAAATCCTACACTGCAAGCTCTGCTGATTTCAGTGAAATAAACTATTACCAGATATGAAATTTTCAGTAAGTTCCCAATTAACCACATTAAAATCATTGCTAAATTCCCTTGATAATTTAGATTTCTTTAACTTGATCAATTGAAAGATTTGATACATCAGACGCTTTTTAAAGGATGTTAAATTATTTTCTGTCTGTTTCTTTTTCAACAAGTTGACTTGTGAATATTAATGGAATTTTGTGTTATAAACAAGCCAGCTTAAAAAAAAAAAAAAAAAAAAAAAAAAAAAGAAAAGAAAAACTAATAGTACTTATTTATTCTCAAAAGACATGAGCTTTCACAGTTGTGTATATAATATTTTCTAACATTAAAATTTGTTTTTGAAAGTAGCTTTAAGAAACTAATAACATTTTATGTAACGAATTTTATGGACTAAACTTTCATAGAAAATATTATACTGCGGATATTAGTTGTTCTTTGCTGTCTCTCATTAGTTAAGCTCTTTACTTAGGCATAACAAACTTGCCAAAGTCCACTAACTGAACATAGACTTGGACATAACTGCTGAGTTTTGCAATTTCATAAACCCCCTTTGGAACAGGATTCAAAGAATAAACAAGGGTTTTTTTAAACATAATTTTTAATAGATGTTTTATTTATACTACTTAATATTTTTATTTATATTACTTAATACTATTGCCATTTTTCAAAAAGCATATTTTTAATGTTTTCCATTTCAAAATTGCTAGTCATTATAATATGTTTCACTTTGTGGAATATACAAAGTTATAATTAAAAGTTACAGTAAGAGTTATTGTATTTTCACTTGAAATAGTTACTGTTAATGAGAATAAAATATATAATAATAGTTAATTTGTTCTATATATATATAAATCTTGCAGCTATAGCACAGGACGGGTTTAACCTTCCAGCATGCAAGCTATGCACAAAGTTTACTACAAATTCGGTTTTTAATGCACATTTTTTGTATATCGCAGTTGAGACGTCTGAATGTCATTTCTATTCCACCTTTCAACCCTTCCCCACATCATGGAATGTGCCAACTGGAAGTCATATGACTTTTGTTTTTTTACTGGGCTTTTGTGCTGCAGCTTCAACGTTAACATTACGACGTGGGCATGGTCGTGGGTGAAAGTTTGGAAAATATTTTTTGTCAAATATTTTGTAATTTTGTGTTATAAATTGACATGTATTATTTTAATTTGTATAAATTCTATAATTTTTATATCGGTTTTCATGGCAAAAAATTATGTGCTACCAGCTGATTCTGCTCGCATTCTTCAAAAATTATCTGATGAAGAAAAAGAAGACAAGGAAACCTTTAGAAGTGAGAATAATAGCAATCTGAGTGAAGAAAATACAGTCAAAAGTCATTAATTCGGACACCCATAATCCGGACCTCAAAGCTACAAACTTTCTGCGTATGCGTCTCTTTGACGCATACGTGTAAGACCTTTACGGCTGTGAATATGCGTGTACGCATGCGCATAATGTTTACACATGCGCGTTTAATGTATAACGGACAGTATAAGCTAAGCTAAAATTATCTAAATCAGTTAATGTTGCAGATTGTGTTGTTCCTTAATCTTCGAACTGGATCCGGCTTCTTATTTTTTGCAGACTGTTAGAGCAATTTTATAAAAGTAAGCTTGAACTTTCGATTATGTCAAATAGAATTTCCGATATATATTTACTAATACGTAAAGGATCTACAAAGCGAAAGTATGTTTCGAAGTCCACTAAACAAAAAGTGGAATTGCTGCAAAAAATGGATAAAGGTTTGTTTCTCTAACCATTCTGAAACACCTGGGGGGGTGTAGCCCAATACATTGGAAGTTGATCTGTCAGCACTATCCTTATCTTCAGGGCAGATGTTTTTATTTTATTTGGCTTATGATGATAATATATTCTATATTAGTAAGGATAAATCTTCTTAGTGGCAAAAACAGAAGTATATAAACTGCTCAAAGACGAATAAGATGAATATCGTGAGCGTTACCTGGCCTAAAACACCATGCCAAGGATACAAAGTATGAAATAAGAACATTTTTTAAAACAGTTGATATAAATATGCTTGATGAAATTTCGGCATGTACAAATAAATATATAAGTTTACTAAAAGGCAAAATACTCAAGAAATAGAGACTGTACTCTTACCTGAGTGGAAATGATGGCCTGGTTTAGATTATCAATATATTATTTGTTATATATTATCATATATGACAAATTGCTATATATGATAGAAATAAAAAAAGGACACCATGTAAATGCAAAAGACTTTTTCTCAAGTGATGGCATTGGAATTGAAATAACAAGAACTGTGATGAGCTGGAAGTTTTTTATTTCTGACAAATTGTCTTCGAATCGATGATAAATCGACAGAACAGATGAATATTAAAACTAACTTTAAAATATAGTTATTAACTAATAAATTTTTAAATTTCTATAATGAAATACATCATTGGTTTTCCACCTGACTAATATAACCATTTAAAAATAATTTACTACCATTTGAATGTGACATCATTTGTATTTTGCAATAATACGGTTAATATTTTATGTTTTAACAAATTTATTATCAATATTCACTCATTTCTGTCATTTTCATGCAAACAACGATAAAATAACAGATGTCGTAAAAAATACGACGTGTGTGTGCTTATGTAAAGTTGCAAAGCGCGTGCTCGAAGGTTAAAAAACTTTTATTCTAATTAATTCGAATTTTTAGCCTATCTATATATTTCTTTACGTATATATTTTGCGCGTGTTTGTATAGTGCTATGTTTTCAAACACCATTTAGTATTATTTATTTATTCTTCCCTTTCTCCACAAATATGTAAATAAATAGGTGCACATTTAATGCTTTGCTTCAAGTGAAAAAATATGTAAGCACGGCTCTGGACAGAGTTTACACTAATGTTTTCTCATAACATTGTTATGTAGATGAAGGGATCCTACAAATGAACAAGCAAGTACTCAAGTCTAAACTCAAGACTTTTTATTAACTTGAACTAAATGAAGAGCAATTTTTCTACATTTCCCCCTTCTAGGAAGACGCAGCGTCCCACTGCAATCTTGTCTGGCTTTTTGTAACAGGTCTCCTGGAAATATTGGGCTTTCTTTCATCATCTAGTTGTACTTTTTTACTTTTATTCTAATTAATTCGAATTTTTAGCCTATCTATATATTTCTTTACGTATAGATTTTGCGCGTGTTTGTATAATGCTATGTTTTCAAACACCATTTAGTATTATTTATTTATTCTTCCCTTTCTCCACAAATATGTAAATAAATAGGCGCACATTTAACGCTTTGCTTCAAGTGAAAAAATATGTAAGCACGGCTCTGGACAGAGTTTACACTAATGTTTTCTCAAAACATTGTTACGTAGATGAAGGGATCCTACAAATGAACAAGCAAGTACTCAAGTCTAAACTCAAGACTTTTTATTAACTTGAACTAAATGAAGAGCAATTTTTCTATATTTCCCCCTTCTTAGGAAGACGCAGCGTCCCACTGCAATCTTGTCTGGCTTCTTGTAACAGGTCTCCTGGAAATATTGGGCTTTCTTTCATCGTCTAGTTGTACTTTTGGATCAAGATAGGGCTTCAATCTCAATACGTGAACGATGTCTTTTGAATTCCGTCGTTTCTTATTTTGTTCCATACTTTCTACTTCGTACGTCACGTCAGAGAGCTGTCGTGTTATTCGATACGGTCCAAAGTAACGTCTTAGGAGCTTTTCGGATAACCCAACCTTTCGTACTGGAGTGAAGACCCAGACAAAGTCTCCAATGTTGTAGCTGACAGGTCGATGCCTCTCGTCGTATCGGCGCTTGTCTGTGGTTTGCGCTTTAAGAATATGGAGTTTTGCAAGCTAGTCTTCAGATGTTGTGCATAACTATCTTCGGAATCTTCGATACTGTATGGAAAAATTACGTCGAGAGGAGTCTGGATATCTGTGCCATAAATGAGAAAGAATGGGCTGAATTATAGGCATAGGTTACAAATGGTACAATAGTATCCAAATTTTTCTGTTCAATGTCTACATACATGGACAACATATCTGCTAGTGCCTTATTGAATCTTTCAGTTAAGCCATTGGTCTGAGGGTGGTAAGCAGTCATCAGAAGATGAGACGTCTTGCATAGACGAATTACTTCTTTAACAAGGTTGGATAGGAAGTTGCATCCTTGGTCACTTATTATTTCTTTGGGAGCACCATGCTTCAGTACAATTTCTTCAACTATAAATTTGGCAATTTCGGCACCCTCAGCTGTCGGTATTGCCTTTGTGACTGTAAATCTGGTAAGGTAATCTGTGCAAACCACCGGTTCCCATTTCGAGTAACCGGAAAGCGTCCAAGTAGATCTATTCCAATTTTGGTAAACGGTGTATCAGGGGGTTTTATCAGATGAAGCTGTCCTGGTGGACATTGCGGCAGCGATTTCCGTTTTTGGCATTCTCGGCAGTGTGATACATACCGCCGTGTGCCCCTGGTACTTCCTCCTTATTCGGTCGTACGTTTTGGCAAATCCGAGATGGCCAGCGGTTGGAGCATCATGAAGACTTATTAGAACCTCGCTACGAAGTTGCTTTGGTACCACCAAAGAGCCATTGCTGTCCCATAGGATCATAGCTTCTTTTGTACAGTATACCATTTCTTATTTGATAATTTTGATATGCGTCACCTCTCTTGAGAGTTGTAATGATGGATTTTAATCGTTTGTCCTTCTGCTGCTCTTTTCCGTAATCTACGATCGCTGCAAAGAAAGGGATATCTTCATTGTTCTCAATTATTGGTTCTATAAGAGGCTTCCTTGATAGTGAATCTGCATCGAGTGTTTGCGACCGCTCTTGTAGACGATATTTATGTCGTATTCCTGCAACCTGAGAGCCCACCGTGCAAATCTTCCAGATGCATCCTTAACATTAGCCAGCCAACATAAAGAGCAGTGTTCTGTGACTACCGTGAAGGGTTTTCCGTAGAGGTATGGCTTGAATTTACCAATTGCCCAGATAACGGCAAGGCATTCTTTTTCGGTGGTGGAATAGTTGCTTTCAGTTGCAGTAAGTGACCTGGATGCATAAGCTATTGGTCGTCTTTCTTTCCCATCCTAAATCTGAACCAGTATTGCACCGATGTCATAGCCACTAGTGTCAGAATGTATGCTGGTTTCTATGGCTGGGATAAAATGTCCCAAAACAGTGTCACTGGTTAGCAGCCTTTTGAGCGTTGCGAAAGATTCAATCGTAGCGCGATCCAAGAAAATGTTGCATCTTTCTTCAACAAGTAATGCAAGGGCTTTGGGATATCTGCGAAATTTTTGATAAATCGTCAGTAGTACGAGCACAAGCCCAAAAAGCTTCACCTTTACTCTTAACAAGCATACCCCTCCATACACTGTGACAGACTGGAATAATTACACATGGGAGATACTTGCTAATAAACCAAAAAAAAAAAAAAAAAAAAAAAACCAGTTTTTTTTTTTTTTTTTTTTTTTTTTTTTTTTTTTTGTTTTTTTTTTTTTTTTTTTTTTTTTTTTTTTTTTTTTTTTTTTTTTTTTTTGGAATTATTTGTTAGAAATTTTATAAATTGTTTTCCGAGATAAATATTGAACTAAAATTAAAATATGTACCTAATAATATGCATGATATGAAATAAAACTTTCTCCAATTTGAAATCCCCATTCTTTTGCTTCTTCAATAAAATGCCAAATTTTGCCAAGATAGTTGCTATAATACCAAAGTATCAAGATTATTATGAAAAATGCAACACATTTTATGATGAAAGGCTTTAAATTACATAAATCAAGCATGCAAAGCTTTACTCAATTTTTGATAATCAATATTTTTTTTAAGTTTTCCTTTCTTTTAATACACAGTCTGTAACTCTTGATACATATCATTCTCCTACAGTTACCAGTCCAATGCCAAATTCGTCAGCTACTTTCTACATTGTCTCTAGACCGTCTAAAGTTTCTTTGGGGTGCCATTCTTTCTGTAATAGTGTAAATTGCCACTTTTAGACATCATAACAATATTTGTCAAATAAAAACATACCATACACAGACATATGTATAGTAACAGACAATAAATCAATCTGAATGGCAGATACATACGTCATACTGTAGATCAGTAAAGTCAGAAGCAACGAAACAGACTACATACAGTTCTTGTAGCAGACAGCCACTTTTTTCCTGATGGTATGTAGACTAGGTGAGACTCTATTGCATATACAAGTTAAGGGTGAAGAACTTCAAAAAACTGCTTTATTTGCAATACTACAAACACGGTTATATAACAATATCACGTATACTACACTTTCACTGAAACTACTCTGTTTATACCAAAACCCCAGATGTGCTCTTTGCTTAACTCATAAGCCAAGGCCTCTAATCAGTACACTTATTCTTTTAGCACTTTGCACAGGTCAGCAATCAATACAAGAGTACATGCACAATTGGCTTCTGCAGCTCATATACTAATTACTTATATAATAATAATTGATCTGAAACATTCCAATGAATATAATTAAACCCATCTCTGTGTAAAATGGGTTTAATTCTAAGCTGAACGGCTGGCTACATGGGCATTTTCTTGGTTTTTCCCATGTGTAACATGAATATGAGGCAGTTTCCCTTAAAAAGTCCTCTGCAAAAGTATCCCCCCTTCAGTCTTTGCCATAATCAAATAAACCCCAATCCCATCTGAAAACTTTTAGGACAATCCAAACACAACAAGAGGGTATATTAATATAAACACCAGTGTGTGCAGTGCACGAACAATACGTTTTTGACAAAAAAAAATTTACACTGCTAAGGAAATTTTCCCATGTTATATTTAAATCTGAAAATAAATTTATGACTTAATAAGTGCATTGCCAACAGCTTTGTCAAAGTTGACATTTAAGCACTATTTGGAAATGAATAAAATTTCATTTTAAATCGTATTTTCATCCCATCTTAAAGTTTCAGCCTAATTTTCGCAAAAATAACATATTTATCAATTTAAGAACATTTAAATACAATGCAGGAAGATCGGAAACCCCGTTAACTTTAAGACTTTTAAGAAAAATGAGGGGGAAATTCACTTCTCTTCCCAACTGTCATTCAATACTAATGTGAATTCTTCTTAATAATTCAGATGATACCATCTGCAACACTTATTACGAAAAATTTAAAATAGGCTTTGTTCCTAATGCAGTTCCACACACCGTTACTCGCGAACTTAGCATGCAAATGTAAATTAGCAAATAGCCTGCTTTGAGAGTATGGCGGCCAAATGAGGCTGTAAATGACAATTGGACAACTGATGATTACTTACCGGGTATTCAAGCTTTAAGATTATTTTTTATGTACGATAAAGCTTAAAGCAATACATATAAGACTCCAGCTCTGATGTCTTACGTAGTATTTACCTTAAAATGCCATACATATTAAATTTTTACTTTTGTTATCATTTGTCACGACGCACACACGGGCGCCGCCATCTTGGAATACTATAACAGCGGCAAATTAAAATTTATATTATTTTCATACAATTGTAAATTTTTTCTTAATTCTGAAAATTTAACAATATTTATTCATGACTTGATCTGATAAGAGAAAAAAAGCATAAGATACATTCTGACTAGTTTAAAAATACAAAGACTTACTAATGTATAGCGGCGAGTCCAAACAAATTTATGTACTTACTAGTGCTGTAAACGTGGAGTTCATCAACAATCCCTTCATTACCACCACCGAAAACAATCATAAGATCTTTAATTGCAACAGCGCGATGACCATGACGAGGTCTTGGTGCCTGTCCAGTTGTGTTTGTTACTCGCTTCCACTTCAGTATGGGTGCCGCCATCTTGGCTAATTCCCACAATGCACAATCCGGTATTGACGCGATCCTACTAATCTCAACACCATCCTAGAAGGTTGCCAAAAAATAATAGCATTTGAAAGAAACAGCCCAAGTAAATTATGATTATTTACTTATAAAATATTCCTTTGTAAGCCATTAATTTGAAAGGTGAAAGCTTTTAATGAAAAGTTATAATTTCTCCAATGAAAAAAAAAATGTTTTCGGAAAACAAATAATTTCAAAGAACTATTTGCTGCGGACTAGTAATTCAAATGACGTTTTATTGAAAACTTCTCTGTAGAAATTGTAAACAAACATGCCGAAAATTATTGCAGCGGGTGTGAGACTCCTTTTCAAGGAAGGACTTTATGTGAATGGAAACTAATTATTGAAAGAGGTAAAGAGTGTTTAATAAAGCGAAAGTAGTTATAATTAGTTAATTAAAATCTAACATTCACTGCCCAATGCACCATTATGCTATTACCGTTTTTACATTTTAAAAGTTTAATACTGCATTGTACGTTTGTCATAAAAAATGAAAAAGAAAACATCTGACAGAAATTCATTAATAATTTTGCAACAAAATTATGTGTATAAAAGTGAATAAGTTGATATTTTAAATATAAATTAAAAAATGTATTTATTTTTTTTAATTCTATTTTAATGTCACAAATTTCTTAAATTCTTTTGAAAGAATTTACATCCCTAAAATTTTTAACTACTAAAGATCACAGGGAAAAGTGCAGAATCGCCCACTGCTTGGCGCGTTTTTAAGAATTGCACATACTCGGTATCCATGTACACATCGACCTATTTTCACTTACCCCAGAATTGCACAAAAATGCCATTGTGCACTCTTTTTGACTTTATCCATGTACACATTGACCTATTTTGATATATATATATATATATAAGTAAAAAAAAAGTACTTAAAAGTCAAAGAAAATTGACAAAAATCCAATTCTTAAAAAAAAAAAAGTTCTTAAAAAGTCAAAGAAAATTGACAAAAATCCAATTCTTCTTAATCTTGTAAAAAGTGCCAAGCAAACGCCAATCAAATAAGTGGGCGATTCTGCACTTTAGCCAGACAATAACAAGGATGTAAATAAGAAAATTTTGTCACTATTTGAAAGAAATTGTATTTTTCCTTTAAAAATCAAAATCGTACTAATCAAACAATGCTTACGTTTATTATTAAATATGCCCAATTATTGACATATATAACAGAATCGTGATTGAATTCCTAATTTAATAAAATAATTGTGTAAAATAATCAAAAAACAACATTAAGATCATTTAGTAATTAATTTTTGAAAGCCTTATAATCTAACATAAACCTTTCTGCTGCTGTTTAAAGCAGTATTTTTATTATTATGGCTTTCAGCCTGATATTAATTCCTCATTCAAAGAAAACTTTCAGTTAATCTTTGGATTATGGTAACTTGGCGAAAATTTGGCGACCAACCCTGCTACATCAACCTTCTAGTTTTTGTTTGGACATCATTTTGTTTTCACGAAGTAAAGGCATGTTTTTCTTTTTTTTTTTTTTACTCAACATTTTCTCCAACAATCTGCTAGCCGAATTACGCTTATACTAGAACTTTTATGGAACAAAAATGCTTAATCATGATGAAGATTAGGTGTGAAATTGGGAGAAAGTGCAGAATCGCAAACTGCTTGCCGCGTTTTTAAGAATTGCACATACACGGTATCCATGTACACGTCAATCTATTTTTACTTCAAAAAACATCCCAGAATTGTGCAAAAATGGCATTGCGCACACTCTTGACTTTATCCATGTACACTGCTAAAGTCCTAGCTAGTAACCTAATCGCCTTACCAAAATGTCGCCAAACTACCTGTTACCATATTCCAAAGATTAGCCAAACTTTCTTTCATTCTGAACACTTTGTTGATCTATTGGACTAGAAATGCAACCTGATGAAATGATATGGTTGATCTTTACATTATGGTAACTTGGCGAAAAAAGACATGTTTCTTTTCTTTTTATCTCCTGAACACTTCTTCCAACAATCTACTAGCCGAATTACACTTATGCTAGAAATTTTATCAAACAAAACTGCTTAATCATGACAAATATTCACTGCAAAATTAGGAAAAACTGCACAATACCATTCTCCTTACGCATTTTTTCAAAATAACACATACACATAAACCATGTACACGCCGACTTATTTTTACTTAAAAAAAACATCCCAGAATTGCACAAAAATGGCATTGCGCACACTCTTCACTATATCCATGTACACTGCTTTTTTCTCATAAATTACAAAAATTTCACGAAAATACATGACAATTTTCTGAATCTTTAAACCCGGTAAAAAGAACATATATGAAATTACCTGATCGCGAAAAAGTATTTACCCTTTCCAAATATGAACATTTCCACATATAAAATAAATAAAATATCCAAAAACTTTTACCTCTAAATCATCTATTACATTATACACGTCACCAACGAATTCATACCGCAAGCATTACAAATACTTAGTATCAAATATTTAAATTATTTCCATGCACGTTTATTTCAACTTAAACATATACCAAATTCCTACAAACATAAAATTCACAAAATAACTATCATTTAATTAAAATATCACTAAACCACGTACACGTCGACTTATTTTTACTTAAAAAAACATCCCAGAATTGCACAAAAATGGCATTGCGCACACTCTTCACTATATCCATGTACACTGCTTTTTTCTCATAAATTAAAAAAATTTCACGAAAATACATGACAATTTTCTCAATCTTTAAACCCGGTAAAAAGAACATATATGAAATTACCTGATCGCGAAAAAGTATTTACCCTTTACAAATATGAACATTTCCACATATAAAATAAATAAAATATCCAAAAACTTTTACCTCTAAATCATCTATTACATTATACACGTCACCAACGAATTCATACCTCAAGCATTACAAATACTTAATATCAAATATTTAAATTATTTCCATGCACATTTATTTCAACTTAAACATATACCAAATTCCTACAAACATAAAATTCAAAAAATAACTATCATTTAATTAAAATAAATTCAAAAACACTACTTAAAATATAAATGAGCACATACATTAAATTAATAAAAATTACCTTACAATCCTAATTACTTTAAACTAAATAATTGCTAATAACAATTTTCCCAATAATACCAAATTCCTTTCCACCTTACATTTACAGCAATGCATAAAAATAATATCCTCAAATAATTAAAAATACTAACTTACCTTATCTTCTTCAGAATCTTGATTACGTGGCGGATACACTTTTCTTACTTCTGTTTCAGAATCTTTAAAATCATACTTATCTTTCAAAGCAAGATACCAGGTAAAATAAATAACATAATAAAACATCTTTATTTCTCTCTCGCACAACCTTAAAAAACATTTATTACTATCCTTTTCAATACCACTAAATACCCATTTCGGATTCACTTTAGTTACGGCCATGGGATCCAAAAATTCACAAACACTATTACACACAACACAGAATAAAGCCAAATACAAAATTGCCAGATTTTTTCCCGATTAAAGAACAGTAATTCGTCCATTAATATCACATAACATATCCCATGATCTCTCATTTCCCTCACACAAAATAATGCATAATCAGAACTAAATACTATTCACATTCTTAACAAAGTCTAACTAACCTAATCTTCTTCCGAATCTTCCTTACATGGTGGATACACTTTTATTATGGATTCAATAAAATTACTGAACGATTTTTTTTCCGAATTTGATAGAATTTGATAAAAAAAAATTCTTTTTATCACATCTACAATTCACTTTAGACAGCGCCATACAATCCCAAAATTATTCAACCCTACTTCACACAACACACAATGAAGCTTAATACAAAATAATATACATCCACAGATACTTGTCCAAATTCCCCCCTTTTCCGATTAAAGAACCGTAATTCGTCCATTAATATCACATGACATATCCCATGATCTCTCATTTCCCCAGCACACAAAATAATGCGTAATTGGAACTGAATTCCTTGTCATTATAAATATCATGAATACACATCAAATAGTTTTCTAGTTGCAATTTTCTAATTTCGACTATGCGTAATGTATGCTTTACACATGTGCACGTTGAAAGAAATGTTTAATAAAGTAAACAAAAAAATATTAAGCTTTTTTCCTTGTAAATTTTGATACCCTTTAGATCATAATTGCTCTTTATTTCATAAATTACGGTTTCATATTTTTAATTTTATAATTTTTGCATGCCATCTTACCAGATTTAAACTGATCCCGAAAAATCGATAATACGGAATCGACGATAAGTCCCGACGAGTCCGGATTAAAGACTTTTGACTGTGTAAAAGGGTTACAACACAAAAACATGCTGGAAGAAGGGAGAAAATACCTTATAAAGTAAATCACAAATTTAACTTTATTATATATTGCTATTCTTATGCAGACAGTAGAGTGCCTATGGAGGTCAGCCATAAACAACAATGTGGAACCGCCCAATGATATTTATGATCATATTTAGCTGAATTCATATGGCAAAAGAAACAAAGAGGGTATGGAAAAAATTTATTGGACTTTATCATCGAAGTGATTGCTAAAACATTTCGGTCAGAAATCAACATTGACGTTTGAATGACATTGAATGAAGTTTATGCTAATAAATAATAATTATTTAATCTGTTAATATTATATTTTTTAATATTAATTTTGAGCACTTTATAAAAATGCAAGCCACTTTATCAACAATTAGGAAATTTGTTTACATAGCAGGCACATAGTGGAAAAGTTAGATTGTGGGCATGTAATGAAAATGTACCATATTTATATCTAAGTAAATATTTCAGAGTTGAGTTTTTTTCATAAAGTTTTTGCTGTTATAAAATAGACTAGATACTCATATACTAGTACAGTAATCCTTAAAAATTTTCTGTAAATCTTTTTTTTAAACAGTTACTGCACAATAGATCAATACCTTGTTTGGTTAATCTTTGGAATATGGTAACAGGTAGT